GTGGATAGCATGGTGCAAACAGTGTACAGTCTAGTGACATCCAGTAACTTGGGCACTATGAAGATTAAGGCACCGGACAATCCAACAGCTAATGCGAAAACTCTAGCAAATGATCCGATGACAATTAAGGGGCCGTTCGCTGGTCTGGAAAGACCAGCCAGCCGGCTGCTCCCCCTCACAATTTACTATTCATCAAACCAGCCGAACAACGTTTTTCTCTCACAACAAACCAGCCGGAACAGTGTTTTTCAGCCAAGTTTCAGACCAGCGAACGGGGCCTTAGGTGGCAACGGCGCAGTACTCACTATGTGGCGGTGGTGAGGAACAGCGGATAAAGCATGTCAACAAAAGAAACAGTTACTTCAACGGTTAGTGAGGACTTGACCATCTAGTGGTGACGAAAATAATTGTTTTTACAATTCCCTTTGACTCCTAAGAATTTTGGATGTGGGACCGGTGTCATTGACACTTTTACCTCCTTAATTAGCTTTCTGTGCATCTCTACTCTAAGTGACCAATCTGTAATCAACGCTCTGTATTGGTCCTTGGCTAAGTCATCCTATGGGTCAACAGACGACATGATAGCACCAACATGTCTTTGAAGAAGCTCCCCGCCCCCCGAATTTGCTGATTTTACAAGTGAAATCTTCTATGTCAAGACAGAGTTCATAAAAAAAGCATCCAAAACTAGTTTCTCTTGTTTTAGCCCCCAAACATGCTTTTAGTATATCTTTTTATATGTTAACTTTGATTTCTATAAGAAAAACAGGTGCTCATGAGTTCCTAGCACGCAACAGGGTCATTTCTAGGACCCTAATGTTTCTCTTGATGTTTGATGTACTTTTTAACTTACGTAAAGTTTGTTTGCTTGTATGTGCCTTTGTGTGATCATGTTCACTGTGTATAGAAGGAGAGCAAGAGGGTAAATTCTAGGATTAATATTTTGAAGAGACAAAGCAGTCACAACTCGCAACAATTTAGAGAAAGCAAGTGCCCCTTGACCATGTTCTTTACCTATTCACTCTAATCATTTTATTTATATACATGTGTATATTTTTTGTAAACCCTAAGGACTATCTAGTTTACTTATAATTCCTTGTAGCTAGGTTTACACGTGGGTAGTTGTAAACTTGCTTAGCTACTTCAACCCTTTCTAATGATATGTGCTTATGATGGTAACTTGATTAATGGTTTATGCAACACTGTTTAATAAAATTAGGGCTTTTCATAACAACTTGTTGGAACCTAGAGGGCTGAGCATCAGTGTTCTTTTTAGAGATGCGCACATCTGCCCACTGTAAGGATCAATTCATGGGGCGCCTACCCGGAACATACAGTGCATCCACAATGCTCTAGTCTTACTATACTTATGATTCTCTAGATCGACACAGAAGCCTATCAAAAGGCACAAAAGGTGGGGTGCGAGGACCCTCCAATTGGCCCGCTCAACTTAAGTTGCTAGCCTACCACCTTTGGTCCACACTTAACCTAATCTAATATGTCGTTCCTTGGTAGCACCATCCATGTTCCATGCTAACCATTCTAGCAAGCCATAATCAAGTTACATAGGTACACATATAGCTCAGACACGTTCACTTAACATAAAACATAAGTTAAGTTAAGTCTTTATAGTACAAGTTCACCATACATCTTGCTTATATCCCTCTATATCATGTCCTTTATGGCACTGTTCGGCTTACCCCATATTCGATTTGTTTGGCTTCTTTTTTCAGCCGGAACAATGTTTCTCTCTCACAACAATTCAGCCGGAACAGTGTTTCTCTCTTACATTCTCGTTCCTTATTACTGTATGCTTTATCTTGCTTATATCCCTCTATATCTTGCTTATACGTCTTGAGTTGATTTATCATATCTTGATATCTATCTTGGTCATATCATGTCGGATTATATCTATGTTCTACAAATACTCATACTAACGCCGTGTTTAGTTCCACCGCAATTTCCAACAAGTTGCTACAGTACCTGTCACATCGAATATTTGCGGCCAATGCATGGAGCATTAAATGTAGACGAAAAGAAAAAATAATTGCATAGTTTGGTGGGAAATTACGAGACGAACGTTTTGAGCCTAATTAGTCCATGCTTGAACACTATTTGCCAAATAAAAACGAACATGCTACAGGAGCCCCAAAATCCAACTTTCTCCAACTAAACAAGGGCTAAGATGATGCCTAGATCATTGCATCTCTACCTGACGGTCCAGCGAGGCGATTGAAATAGCGCCTATTATCTCCCATTTTTATATCCGTTATTAGAAGAGCAGGCGAATTTGTGATCTTGGCACACCCATTTTTTTTAGTGATCCGTGATTTGTAAGTCGACGTCTCCCTGCCATGTACTCTCTCCGTCCACAAAAGAATGCAACTATGGTTTGCATGCTTGTCAAAATAGTTTAATTTTGACTGAGTTTATAGTATATAATATTGACATTTATGTCTCTAATTAAGTTTAATATGAAAATATATTTCATAATTAATTTAATGACTTTTTTACTTTACATGTTAGTATATTTTTTATATAATTTTGGTCAAACTTCAAGTTGTTTGACTTCTCCATAACGAGAATTGCATTTTTTTTCATAGACGGAGGGAGTAAACTGTTGATGAAAACTTTTAAGTGAAGGATTGAGGGAGCGACGACTTGACAGGATCATAAATCTTCGGGTTAATTAAGAGAGAAGACGACAGGACGCTTGAAGGATACTCCTTGCTACTGCTGGTACAGCATCCGGGTCATGCTCACGCACGAGCTGTCCTTCTCACCAGGCTGTCACGTTTGCCCGTTGGTGTCTCGCATAGTAATAGAGATGGAGAAGAGAATAGACAGGGTTAACTCCCTGATGGCTGTCCCATCATTAGTTGAGAAAAAAAGAGAGGATATGTTTCTTTTTACCCTCGTCAGTCGTCACACGGCAACAGCGTCGAGAAATTTTGTGACAGCTGTTGCCCCCATCGATGGCATCGTGATGATCAGTTTATTATCAGCTCACCTGCTGGGTTCACTGCCAGCTGTGCGTACGTAAGTGGAATTTGAATGAAGTAGCCAAAAAGAAGGTTTTATCGCTTTGACTATTTCTGAAGAGTCTTGGTGTTGGTACATGTGTGCTTGAGGTGGTAATCTCAAATGCACAAGCTGGTAAGAACACCAGATGGCTGATGCTCATCTGGAGGGCGGAGGAGGAGGAGGCGGCGGCGGCGGCGGCGGCGGCTGGCAACCGGGTCCGACCGAGAAAACGACTGCAAAAGGCGGCAATGGGAACGCACGGCGCCTACGCGGGACAGAAGGGACAGCACATGGCTGCAGCAGAGCCACAGGGTCCAGTCCAGCCGGCCAGCCATCCCGAGAGGCCAGAGCAGAGGCGCGCGCGCTCGACGGCATGATGGTTTCACGTTCCTGTCGGCGTGTCGCATGGACCCACTACAGGGGCAGTAAACCGTTTGTTACACGCTTCAGCTCCCCCTCGTCCGTCCCATACTCATCACGACACGAGCTGCCAAAGCATGACTGTTTTTGTTGTTAAAAAAAAAAGCACGACTGTTTTCTTGTCTATCGATAGAGTACAAGAAAGAGTATGGTGTTTGTAGGATTAGCAGCAGTGCCTAGCACTGTTGATGCTGAATAGTTTTGGCCATTGAGAAATGAAAAGAGGAGGGCAGGAAAGGTCTGGGTCAAGCTGAACCAGACCGTCCAAAGGAGAGGTCAGTGCAGCAAAAAGAGAGAGGTGCGTGCCCCGTATGGCTCCATGCCTCAAACAGCGATCATGTGCTGCTCCTGCTCGCTCGTCAGGACACGCAGTCAAACATTGGTGTGCCCAACATTGCCTGAATCGTGGTGCCCAACGTTGCTCAGTTCAACCGGCGTTCCTAAAATTTATATCATATCGAATGTTTAGACACATACATGAAATATTAAATATAAACTAATTACAAAACTAATTATACAACTTGTGACTAATTTGCGAGACGAATCTTTTAAGTCTAATTAGTCCATGATTTGACAACGAGATGCTACAGTAAACATATGCTAATGACAGATTAATTAGGCTTAAAAAGACCGTCTCGCAAATTAACCTCCATCTATGTAATTGGTTTTATAATTAATCTATATCTAATGCTCTTTATTAGTATCTAAACATTCGATGTGGCATGAATTTTATGAGCGACTAAAGAATCAAACACCCCCTTACTAAGACAAGTTTAGTTACTCCTAAAGTTTACTCTATATCCCATTGAATATTGAACACATAGAGTATTAAATATAAACTAAAAAAATATCGACAATGTGATGGCTACAGTAACACATGTGCTAATGATAAATTAATTAGGTTTAATAAATTCATCTCGCATATTCCTAACGGATTCTGTAATTTATTTTTTTATTAGTATCTAACATCTTTTTTTATTAATATCCGAACATCCCATGCAACACATCTCTATGACATCCAATATGATACTCTAAAATTTTACACCTTAAATTTAAACCAAGCCAAAGAACCATGATTCATGAGTTTCTGTTTGCACAAATAAATTTTTTGCGACCCTCGAAAACAAGACGCCGAATCTTTGTCAACAGAGGAAGAGCATTAAACTACACACGCCCCAAGGTTCATTCTCCTGCATGAATCCTGATCATAAATAAACTAACCAGATCGAAACACCCCTGAGCAAGACACGCTAAGCTCAGTCAGTCAGTCTTTCAGATCGTCAATAATCAATTTAATTCCTGGCCACAAAAAAGACCTGCGTCGATGCAACGCGACGAGGATCGGAAGTATCAGTACTAGAATCAAACCTAACGCGTCACAGATCCCAACAGCGACGCGAAATTCGCAGCGATGGAGCGAACAACACACAGAACGCAGCAGAGTAGAATAACGATAAATGAACGCAGCAGAGTAGAATAACGATAAATCAAGCGCAGAGAAAGACTAGATTAGCGACAACGCACATCTCAAATGGGACGAATAATAAGAAATGATACTATATCAGTAGCAACCAGACAGAATCACCACTCACGATCACGGCGAGATAGCAGAGCATCTACAAGGGGATCAGATCACACAACCGACACACACCACGACACGGTAGAAACCCTCCATCCACCAAGGAGACCAGATCCGACCAAAATGCGACGACGACGACACGAGAGCAACGAAGAAATCTCCCTACTACTACTACTAGAACTACTGAATGACACTCCAATAAATAGATCTAGGCGGCGGCGGTGGTGGAAGTACTGCTAGGTAGGCAGGCATGAGGCATCATCAGGTCCCATCGGCTCAGTGGCTGACGGCGGCGAAGACGAAGGCGGCGGCGGCGGCGACGAGTGCCGCGGCGAAGGGCGCCGACGCGGCGCCGGCGGCGGAGACCGGGCTGGGCGCGGGTGCATCAGCCGCGTTGGCCACCGAGAGGGCGACGGCCGCCAGGACGGCGACCACGGCGAGGGCCTTCGATCCGACTCCGGCCATTGCTTGCTGCTTCGAGGTTCTAGAAGGAAGTGAGGCAGGCGATGTGTTGGTGCGGCGAGCACGAGACCTCGGCTGGTGGTGGGGAAAGGTGCGGAGGGGCCGGTATTTATTTATAGAGGGGCAACGCGGGTGGAGTCGCGGGCTAACGGGTCTCGCTTGGTGGTGACAGCTGGCACGGGTCTGTGTTGATTTGTTGGGTCGTTGCAAATTTGGTCTCTTCTGCTTCTGTTGAGAATAGATTTCCCGTTGAGTTGATATAGGAGTAGGTGATTTTGGAAAAATGAGAAAGGAATAAGAAAAAACGTTTCCATTTGTGTACTCAGTGAAGCTGTGGTTTCGAGAAATGTCTGAGGTATCAGGTTCGATGGCGCCAAATTCCCTGAAGATAGGGTATATATATGTTATTCCTAGAATTTCTTGTCTGTTTATTTATTTTCTGCAAGGTATTTTGTTTTGTTTTCCTTAGACATGTTTGGATCCATAGAACTAACAGCTAATTGACTAATTTTTAGTTTCTAAACGTCCAAACAAGTGAACTAATTGTTAGTCCACTGATCATGGACTAGTTATTAGTTCACGAGTCTATTTATAGGAGCTGATAGAACTAGTTGTTAGTTATAGTCCATCAAACATGTCCTTATTTTCTTATTAGGTTCCATTTGTATCCCAGTGGATTTTAAGGATGTGGATAAAAACGATATGATGTGTTTTATTCGTTTGGAATCTGAGTGGATTTTAGGATTCTAGATAAAAAAAATTATGTGTTTTATTGGATTCTGTGCATGTATGTTAAATTCATTGTATTCTAGCTTTAGATGTGATTCTAGAATTTTGAGATTTTTTTTATCTGGATTCTTGAATACATGGATGGAGGAGCTTTAGGTGGGAACGGTATATTTACAAATCCGCAACACGCTAGATAATAAGCCTCAAGCATCTCAACAGTGGTTTTGATTCCACCACTGTTTACGGAGTGATATCTACTGTAGGAGATACCATGGTTGTTTTTTGCACACAGTGGACAGGTAGTAAAGGCGCAACGGGTGAGGGGCTTTTTTTTTTTTTTTTGATGTGGCTAATGCACGGCCGGCTATAGTATAGTGCTTCCGCATGGCCTTACCGTTTTTTTTAAAGTGCAATTATTAGACACCTTTTTTGGCAAGATGCTAATTAACGCTCGCTTGTTGGCACGTCCAGAGGAAAAAATTTCCCGACCTCGCGGCTTGCGCGACCAGGCCCAGATGCGACGAAGGTTTTTTTTTTTTGGAAAAAAGGCCAATCAGTCCCAGACATATGCTATAATGTACTACATGTATATGTTCAAAAAGGACAATGTATTCATAAAAAACACATTTTGCATCTGCAGTTTTCTAGATCACAACACTATACATCTAGTCCCTTGGAAAAAACACACAGTTACACATCTTCTCTGTACATGGCCTGCATCTTGCTTCCCAGTATATGGCCTGCATCCTGCTTGTTAAAAAAAGGATAACATGTGTCATAATTTTGTTGCTGGATGGAGATAAATATGTTGCCTATTTGAGAAGACATTATTGTTCCTGGAGCCTATATTGGTGATGAGCAGGTTGCTGTAGGTAAATACTGTAGTGAATTGCATTTTCTTGGGCAATTTAAGTGTTACTCGTTAGGCAACGATGTCTTCCTAGATAGGCAATTTATGTATTCTGAAAAAGCAAGTATAGTGTTGGTGATCTAGAAGACTGGTTCGGCGGCCACCAGCGGGCGCCGCTCGTCGATGCGTGCTGGTTCGACGGGTAAGGCGCGGCAAGGCACGGGCGGCGTGGGCGGCCAGGCGTCCTGGCCCCGACTTGCGGAGAGGGCTAGAGCGGTGGAGGATGACGACGGTGTGCAGAGAGGACGACGGCAGAGCAGGAGCAGCGGAGGTCAGCGCAGATTCGAACCCCCGCGTTTCGAACCACACGGTACCCCTCCGGCTCGGCACCATCGCAAACCATCTAACTCGCGCGCGGGTACAAACCCTAGCAGCATGAGCATGAGCATCATCATCATCATCAGATGCAAGCGAGCACGGCACGCCAGGACCAATGGGGGGAGGGCGCTCACCTGCAGGATCCGATCGGGCGTGTGCGGAGGTGACCGGATCGGGGAGGCGGTGAATCTGCGATGGCTGTGAAATTGAGTGGGAGGTGTTGGGGTGGGGGAGAAATGGATGGGGAACGAAAGGATGAGGAGGGGATAAAAAAAAGAGTTTTATCTGTGTATTATTATAAAAATTTATAATTATTTATGAGCCATTAAATGTCACATGTGCCACTACTTCAAATTTATTCGCTCTCCATGCCATTCTGTCCATTTTGGTTGCTAACGGTGTGCTCCATAGATGGACGCGTGTGCCTGCGGTTGGCCAACCCACGGCCGGCCAAGAAGTCTTTACCTTTTTTTTTGTGGTCGTGGCGTGCACGTCGACGACTAAAGCACGGGAGTTGTGGTCGGTCGGCATCGAGGCTGATCGTGCGTGCCGCCCCCCCCAATTTGGGGCGGGCGGTGCACATGAGTAATGCGCGTCACGGATAGCTGTCAAACCTACCCTACTACTGACATACACGCCAACGGCAACGAAAGAAGGAAGGCAGGGTCCTCTTTCTCACGTCTCACGTACGCAATCATGCACACACCCGAAAGACAAAGTCAAGCTAATTACACCTCCCAATCATGCACCGGTGAACCGTCCCCTGCGTAGTAAGCTTTTCATTATTTATTTCAGTAGTACTATATATGTTGGGGACATGGACATATATCTGACCTTGGTGTTTCAAGCCATCGTTGCTGCTTTGATTTCACAGGAAGAATTCAAGATGTGCATGCATGTGTGAATGCACTTGCTAACAAAGTTTCTTGACAAATGTAAAAAAAGAAAACTAACCTAACCTACCCTAGTGCTCAAAAGTGGGCAGTGAAAGCAAAGCAAAGTATTGACGGTCAGCCTGTTCGCTTGCTCGTATACTATCGTCGATTATAAGCTGGAACAGTATTTTTCTCTCACACCAAACCAGTCAGCAGTAAATAATCCACGATCGTTTACGGCGTGCCGAACAGGCTGACATGTGTATGTGTTTGACGTGCTTGTCGGTTTTGATACTTAGTCGTCGTCATCAGAAATTACCGCCCACGTTACGCCGTCGTTAGTGGACCTTAGTACATGTTATCATTATAGTATATACACTAATAATACTGCCACCACTAGTTTCTCTATTACTGACTGTACTTTAGAATCGTGGGAAATTATACTTTCCAAATTAAACGCGACTTTCCAGCCAAAATAAATCTAATATTGAAGGTCTTGACAACAATCATGTGCGTCCAACTGAAAGGAGTGGCCACAGAAGCTTCTGCACATCCTTTCGGTTAAACTAGCCACAGGGTTATTATAGTAGGTTTTTTTTTTTGAGATTTATTACAGTAGTATGTTTTTTTTTCTTGAGGGGATATTATAGTAGTATATACTACCATACTATACTAAGTTGGGCCGTATCCTGTTGCTCACAAAAATTAGTCCTTACGCCTAATCGGCGGCGACCCAAATTAGTGCTTAAATAAATTATGTCTACTAGGATCATTCAAGACATCCGGATGTATATTTAGCATTTTCGCTCGTTGGTTTTAGCCGAGTCTTATCAGTCATGGTACATTATTTTTCTCTCACAATAAACCAGCACCAGTCGGGACTTATCAGCCCAGAAACAAAAAGCGAACATGCTGACTAATTCCGTGCGTGTCCGATCTTTTGTGCTCTAGAACAAGGTTCGGTCCCCAAAGATGCCATACCGCCAATCTCAATGGGGATTTCATGAAGTTTTATGGACGTTAAGGCCCCCTTTGGTGCAGCTCCGGGTGGCTCCAGCTCCCTCGGCTGCGCAATTGTTCACGTTATGTGCGGGCACTGTTCACCAGAGCTGATTTTCTCTCTCTTCGTTTCCTCTCTCACGGAGCCGTTCAAAGGGGGAGGAGTGGTTTTTTTCTCCTCCAGCTCTGGCTACAGTGCCGCTATAGTGCGGGAGCCCAGCCAAAGACGCCCTAAATATGCTGACATGACTTAGTATTGATGAAGAGAGAAGTAATACTGCACTGTTTTTAAAATCCGTGTGTATTAGAAACCGGTGTATTAGAAACTGGGACATAAAACACCTCTTGAGACTGGCCTTGCAACACCTGAGAACATGTCGCATTCTTGCGTACTTCACATTAGACGTACATCTGTATTTTCATGTTTGGTAGTTGGCACAGGTCACTCCACTCGATTTTGTAGCTTGTCTTTATTAGCAAAAAAAAAATATATATATAAAGTACCTTAAAACTCTCTCTCTCTCTCTCTCTTTGGTCTTCTCAACCAAGAATGTTTTAAGGTATACACATAACTTCAACTCTACCGGTTTTTGGAGCAAGAGATACTCAACTCTAAGAAATATTCAGATTTCATTCAATCAGGAATTGAGAACCCCCCACTGTTGATCTTTTGATGATACATATAGAAATATGTAAATATAAACCTTATAAATTTCAGGCATTTTTCTTATTTGATTGAAATTACGTCAAGAGTTCCCGACATTTCACTAAAGAATGGAGGTGGACACCCATCTCGGAGCCTGGACAATGCGGATCGTGATGCTGATGCAGTAGAGTGGAGTACTCTCTTCCTCGACCCAGTCGACGGGTCCCATGTGTCCCGGACAAGCTTCCTGATTTTCAGTTGTTTTCGTCTCGTTGGCGGCGGCGCAAACTCGTCTGCTAGCTACCCATCCAGATCCAGTGCTTCAATTCACTGCTGCCTACTACTTTGTTGATGAACAAAAGAGCAGCGGAATACAGACGGGACGGGAGGCTAGCTACCACTTTCATCGCATGATTGCACTGCATGTGCGAGCCAAAGAGAAGTAGATCAAAAAAGCTAGTGTCGCCACTACCACTATGGCCTACACAGAGCTGGTCCTGCTGCATTGCATGGTTTGCCCTGGCAG